GAACTTCCCCAGCAGATAGTCAAAGTATGTCCCTGCCAAGAAGTAATACAGGGGCAGATATCTGTGGAGATGTTATATGGAAAATCTGTAGAGAATAACATACGAAGAATCTTACTAAAGTTTATCAGGATTAGGACTGCTTCATTGTCATGGTGTTAATTTATTCCTCCTAAAGGAGATGCGGGTAGTCCTGCTCTGGGTCTGCAGTTCAGCCCTTGCTTAAGCCTCCCCTGCCTCTACTATAGGTACGTGACACCCCAGGAACTACCATTTTGTATCCTTGTTTCCAAGTAAGGGCTGGAAGTTTGAACCATGGCAAATGAATGGCCAGGATAAGCCCTGCCTGCCTCCTTCCTGCCTATTAAGTGAGCCCCCCTTTCTCACGGCAGAGAATTGCAAGCAGGGGTAAAAATAACCCTTGGAGCAGCTTCCCTGCTTATTTCCCCAACAGACGTTTGCAAACAGTAAGTTGCTCTGTAAAGACTTGGTGCTGCCATGGATGAGAAGATGTGAGAATTCGGGGTACCTTGCAGCACGACTTTCCCATCACGAAGCCGCTTCTGCCTAGCGTGACGCCCCGTGGGCAGCTGCTGTTTTCGCCTTTGTTGCTGCTCGGGGACGTAACATCTGCCCTCTCCATGACAACTCCGTTCCCGCACGCTGGAACGGAATCGGAGCACCTGGATTTCGCTCTGCGCGGTGGGGCTGGTGGACCTTTCAAGAGCAGAACAAGCAGTGGTTCAACATGACCCCCAAGTGCTTTAATGTTAAACACAGCGATACCTCTGTGAATGCTGCCTTTTGATCGGGGGCAGAATGTGTTTCCAGATTCATTTCACGCCGGGCTGTTTTGGTGAATATAGACCCTCCGCCCCGGGATCTTATTCCCAGCCCTTCCACCCAACTTCAGAGAGCAACCAAAGCTGGGGCAGGCAGTTTGTGCCGCAGAGCCGCGGGACGATGGGCCAGCTCCGTGGTTAGGGTTTTGGTGATTTAACTGCAGTAATTCCCTCCTCACACACGGCTGCAATCGCTCCAGGATGAAAATGCACATGGTGCTGTAGCTGATTCAGCCAAGTGCAGTAAGATAGAGATGTCTTGCATTAGGATGACTGCACTTGGCCTTCAGCTGTGAACAACACAACTGTGGCTGTTCTAATACAAACAGCTTGCTTGGCTCTCATAATCCAAAAAGTGCCTTCACACAACTTACATCTATACGCACAGCTCCCCAGCTTACTTAAAATGCAAGTTCAGTGACTGAACCGTCCCTGTCTTTGAAGCAGGTCAGCACTGAAGACCAGGGGCTTGACTGGAGGCAGGCCTCAAAACTAGGCAGAATTCAAGTACTGAGCAGAATTGTGCCCTAGGTTTGCACGAATGACCTGCCAAAGCTGTACAGACAAATGTTCCAGCACCCCGTTTGCCTCCATTTGTTGTTGTTGTTGTTGTTCTATTAATTCTCAACCTCTCCTCCAGAGGTTTTGCTACACTCTGCTGATGCTCTCCAGTCTTTTTGTCTCTAGAGCAAAGCAATAAATCGGGGAGGTTGTGGGATCACAGCAATCAAATCTTGCAGTGATCTGGCAAATTCTGCAACAAAAAAAAAAAAACAGAAAAAAGCCCTAGCAGGACTGGTGAGTGAGTGCTCAATGAAAGTGCTTAGGCTCCACAACAGCTCTAATTCCTTTACAGCTCTCTTTCAGGATAGACCTGGGTGCTTCTGCTTGCGCCCAGCTGTAGAAAGTCAGGTAGAGCCCAAGCAGTGCAAAACCTGGGGTCCTGGCTGCGGGACCCAGCAGTTTCCATACAGCATCACAGCATTCCTTTGAATAGGAAAGCACTGCACTTAACCAGAAAAAAAGGGTCTTTTATGGAGGATGTGATCATTTGATGAAATACAGACACTTTTAACTAACAATTTGAGTGAAGAATAACGGAAACACATTTTTTCCCATTGAAAAATATTAGCCAAGCAGATTTTTAGCAGTTGGGGACAGCAATATCGAGGGTGCTCTGTCTCTGCCTTTTCTATCCCTTCCTGTTTCAGAGGCATAACAGCCACTGGTTTGCTCTTTTGCTGAGCTCCGTTTCTGTTCCAGGGGATGAGGCAGGTGGGGTGGGCAGGCCTGAGCAGCCAACACGACACGACTGTCACTAGAAAGCAAGAGGTCCTTCAGTGCCAAGTACTTCTCCCTCCTGCTATCTGCCCTCCCTGCTCAAAAGGTGCAGGAAGTAAATGGTTTGAAATGGTGATTTTTCTTTGCAGATAAACCTTGGCTTCTGCTGTAGCTGTGTTTTCCCTCACTGGTACAGTATTGGAACTGTAAAGCCAAATACTGACTTAGACCTCATGTCCCATGATGATTTTAATCTAGTATTTCAGGAATCTCTAGCCTGGAGAATACAGATAATTGCAACTTTTCTGGTGAGAATATGCGTTTTGTTTGTTTGGTTGTTTTTGTTGTTTAAGTTAGAAAAGGATGACTCACAAAAACTGAAACTTTGTTTTGTGAGAATGCACCAGTTCTGCTGGGAAACTCTTTTTGGGAAAGGGTTCTCCGGTCCAGGAAGGAATTTTGGGTCAAAATGTCAGGCTCTTTAGGGCAACCGGTCATGTCATGGGTGCAGCCTCCACTAAGGGCACAGAGACCTTGATGCCGTGTCTGGATTATGGACCTCCTGTCTCACAGGGTGACTCACGGCCTGGTGGCTGGAAGGGGAATGGTTTCTCACTGCCACGTCCTTGCAACAAGATTTGGGAAGTACTTGTTTTTTCCTGAGACAGAAGAGAAAAAGATAAGAAAATGCTCGTGGAATAAGATTCTTTTTCCTCTCAAATGTCCTGGAGGCTGGATGTCTTCTCTGAACTATATGAAATATTTTCTCATTTGCATGAATTCACTGTTCAGTACTAAAAGAAGTATCACACTATGAATAAGGCATGGACCTGGAAAACGAGAGGATCAGCTTTGATTCTCTATCACTGTGTCTCGTACAGGTCACTTGACAGTTTTGTGTCTGGCTCTAGTTTGCCAAACAGTTTTACCAGCAACCACAGCTCTTGTGACTGGCTGGCACGTCCAGACATTCGTTCCCACGCGGTGTATTTCCTCTGTATGGGTGCAAGCTTGCCAATGCCTGCAAAACCATCCGCGATGGATGGGATCCAGCCCGAGGATCTACTCTGGGCTCAGATGACCTGGCGTTTATAATCCAGGTACTTCCACTCTCGCATTAACCGTGTGACTGCGCAAATGCTTGTGCTGGCACCGCTGGCGGTGGCACAGGGACAGGAACAGGCAACAGGAGGGGACGGAGGGCTGCCAAATGCAATCCGGTGAGATGTGTCCTCGGTTTCCCTCATGAAACATTAATAATAGCCATTTATCATTGTGTAACACTAAATCCGTGGAATAAAATCCATTTTAACAGCTAGGTAGTCATAAAGCTGATCATTAACATTTTTTCAAACATTTGTCAGTTTGCTTGAGTAAACATAGTCCAATAATTACTGAGTTTGAATATTTTACTGCCAGATATTCATCAAGATATGAATCCACTGGTTAGTTATGGGTGAAGTTTTCATTAGGACTTAAGCTTCTTAGTCACTTCTCAAAATGTTTCCTTCTATCCTGCTGTGTAATCTGGTATCAGCATAGCCGAAATCTCATTAAGGACCTTTTATAATCTGCACCCCAGCCTGCAGAATGCATTCACCACTGCTGCTCCCAGGGCTGAGTCCAAAGCAGGAGGTTGTTGGTCCTCTGGAGCATCATGACACCCACAGGGACACGCTCAGGCTTGTGCTTGTGGTGGGTCAAGTTATCCTGTAAGGGCAGGAGATGCTACGCAGTTGGCATCAGAGCTTCAACTGGAGACCTGGATCAGTATCCAGCACAAAAGGTGGATGGATGGGCAGTGAGGCTGGTGCTGAGAAAGCGTCCTGCATGTCCAGTCTGCCTCCTGCACTATCAGTGGGCCATTAATATGCATTGAGAGAAGACCTGGAGACCTGTAAACCAGCTGAAGATGATGAGTTTGCAAAAATCTCTATTCAGTAATTAAATCTAAACCTATTGATATGAGGTTTATAAAGGATTATGATAATTAGGCTTCAGGTTAATTGAGTAACATAATAAGAGTAAACTGAGAGAAACCTTAAAGACTGCTTATACCTAAGTCCTCTTCTACGTTCTTATGTATATCTTTAGGTGTCCTCATATATATGCTGATACTTCCTGTACTCAGACCGACTTCAGAAGACAAAAGTGAGTCCCACTGGCATTGGGTTTGCTCACCCAGAAGTTGGGTGTCACTGGGAGCATCCCTGAGAGGAGTGTGTGATCCGAGCACCCTCCCGTGGACGAGGGTGGCCCCAAGGACCTTGGGGGCAGCTGGGGATGGAGCTGCAGGAATCTTTGGATGCTGATTGCTTCCCTCTCAGATAGTCTGTTCGTAGCACTGTATTCATGGATTTATCAGAATACACTCGTAATATTCATTTTTAAGCTGGTCTGATAGAGTAACTCAGTGAGGCTGATTAGAAAGAACGGCATGTCTCCTTCAAGAGAAACAAATCTGACATGGGCAAATCTGACATCTTGGGGCTGTACCTGTGCCAAGAAATGAGGCTGTGAGTCTCAAGGGTAGGCTGTGCTCCTGCCAACTCCTGGGGCACTGCGAGAGCTGCTTTTGCCAAGTGCCAGGCTGCAAAGGGCGCTTAGAGTTACTGCGAAATGGCCAGGAGCAGTTGGCAAATACAGCCACAGTATCCCCTGATTCATCCCGACCTGCCCAGTTCACTGCTGTCTACTTACACTTATATTATCACCCGCAATACATGTGCAAATGGCAGAATACTTGGTATTTGTTAGTAGGTTTTTGTGTAGTGTTAGGCAGGGCACATCTGGCTGATTCTTGGAGTATTTTGAAGGCAGGTGCTCGGGGCAGTGCGGATCCTGCCGTTTGAACGGGCCTTCCTCTCCTCTTCCCAGGGAATGGCTTTCACGCTTCAGGAGCGGCTGCAGCTGGGAATTCACGGCCTGCTTCCTCCTTGCTTCTTGAGCCAAGACGTCCAAGTTCTCCGTGTCATGAAAAACTACGAGAACAAATCTAGTGATCTAGATAAGTATGTCAAAAAAGCCTCATCCCCACCCTTTCCTTTCCAGTTCTTTAATGCCTCAAGGAATATCTGAGGATCCTATTTCAAGATCCAGATGTTTCCTTCAAAGTCACTTTTTCCACCTGTCAATATTCTTCAGCAACAAGGGTGTCTGTACTGGACAGTCCTCTGGCATCTCAGTTACCCAGTACCTAGTCCCAAAATACTAATGATGCTTTCCTTTTTTTTCTACTGTGTTGCTGGAGAGAACTCTTATTAGAGTGGCAATTCACTATACCCTATCTGCACATTCATCATTGCGTCTACACAGGTTTCTTGGGCAGAAAAGCATTCCTGGTTTTCATATCATGAGAATTTTATTTTTCTGGCTGCAGTCTGACCAAGAGAAGGAAAACCTTTTGTGCAAATACGACATATTTTAAATTACTAGGTGATTGTATAAAGCCAGTGATGCACATGTAAGTCTGGACAAAACTAAGAATGAAAAGTTGATTTAAAGTTTTCATTTTCTAAAATTATGTTTTTAACATTCCTCTTTCCAATATAGTATTTAACTATTTTGATGTGTTTGGTGATTAAATGAGAGCAGGGTAAAGGAGAGCATGATTTTGTAGAAATATCTTAAAGACTGCTTTAAAATTGCATATTAATATTTACATATATATATATAATATCATATATACATATATACATATATATACATATATATACACGTATATATACATATATATATATAATATAATATATATATATAATATGACTGTACAGATTGCTTAATAGATTTTCTGTCCTTTCCTGTACCAGATGTCTCTAAAGACCTTTCCCATTGCATATTTTTCTGATGCAAATTCAAAAACTCTAAGGATACACAATGAGTCTAATTTTCAGCCCTGCTGAGTCTTTGTAAGCTGTCATTGAGGATGGTGGACCTGGACCTCCAGGTCCTCTGGGAAATCTTGTTCCCAATGTCTCATCATGTTCTAGTGCTTTGGAGCATGAGGGATTGGAAGTATCGAGTAAGTGCTGAGCAACCTGAGTACTGCTCTTAATGAAATTGTGCCAACATGTAAAAATACTGATGTGTATGTATTTGATTTTACTTTTGAGGTACATTGTCCTTATGACATTACAAGACCGGAATGAGAAGCTTTTTTACCGGGTGCTGACCTCCGACATCGAGAGGTTCATGCCCATCGTCTACACGCCGACGGTCGGGCTGGCTTGTCAGCAGTATGGTTTGGCTTTCCGGAGGCCACGGTGAGTGAAGCCAATGCTCTTGCCCCTTTGCTTAACTCGATGTGAATGCTTCTTTTGTATTGAAAGTCCATCGTTCTGTGGGTGGCCCGAAAGCATCTAAAACATGATGCTTGATCAAAAAATGGTCTATCATCGAGCAGCTTGATATGCGTCCATTTAATGATGGGCTGGGGAGCTGAGAACAACTCTGCCTTCTTCCTATAAATAGTGAACAGAGTGGTTTTGTTTTTTGAACAGTACTGTACAGTCTGTAACTCAGCTCCCAACGTCTCCTGCGCCGCTCCCCATCTGCTGTCTCCAAGTGCTCAAGTTCTTTTTGCTGTGATGGCCTTTGAGTAGTCTTTGCATTTTGGGTACACTGTGCTAATTTGAAACTTTTGTATGCATTTCCACAAGCTGCCCTGCAAAAGGTATTTGCCTTGGAGATGATGCTCTGCATCAGTGGCTGCCTCTCTGCTCGAAACACTGAGTAAATTGATACAACATCATTAAGTCCTGTGTACCATTCCAGAAAGCCCTATTGTGCATAATTCCTTTTAATGAATAATGTTTAAATAAGCTATTCATTACCATTCTGACATCACATTTTCTAGTAAAGCCCCTGAATTCCTTCATGTTGCTGAATAACTCTCCCATAGCGTTGCTCCTCAGGGCCATTTTTCTGTATCTCTCTATCCCAAATCATTGTATTCTGCTCCCAGCCACTCACATTTCTGAACTACTGCCCTGAGAAGACAGTCAATACTTGATTGTATCCCCTGAGGACACTCAGTGACTATGGGGAAAGCAGAGAAGGAGCTGCCCCCTTTGCAGGGGGAGATTGCTTTGTTCGCCTGGGTGGAGGACATGGGTTTGCTGAGTGTTGCATGTGTTGAGCAGTGAGCAGTGGCAGTGAGGAGGAGGAGGAGGATGGGTCTCCGCTCGTCCAAGTCCTACCTGGCAGCTCCTGACCCATGGCCCGTGCTCAGCCACTGTGTCTCTGCCCCGGACCTGCCTTCAGTTCGTGATAACAAGTTCAAACAATTTGGGGGAGTTTTACTTCATTTAGTTCCCAGACATGTTGTTACCTTGGGGAAAGCAGTGGCGACTTTCATGATACTGGACTCTTTCTGCAGGTGTTTCATTTGGAGAAGTCCTTGTCCTATAATTCATTTATTTCTTATTTTTGAAACCTCGACTGTGATGTTCTCATAGTTGGCAGTTTTGCTGCTCAACTTGGACTTGGAGCATTTCTACACTCCAGCCCCTGGCTTCTGCAGAAAAGGGCTAACTATCATACCCTTAATGCACTGAATTTGCCTTGGCAGGGAGTTTGTTCCTGTGAAGATGGATAGTAAATTTTGACCTATCCTCAGATTTGATTTTAGTTAAAGTTGCTTTATCAAAATAGCTTTTCTTGTTCAAAAAAATGAGGATACTATTCAAATAACTAGGTTAAATTGAGAATCTTTCAATTTGTCTGTTTTCTTTTTTTTTACTTTTCAGATCTGACTCTTACTGTCTTGCAATAAATATTTTTTTCTCCTGGAGCATATTTATTTATTTCAGGAGCTGGCTTGCAAGATGCTTAGGACAGGGTAGCATACCAGTGTTTTCTGCTAAAAACACCAGGATCTTCAGATCTGAGGAGCCCTGGAATTAAGATTTAGCTTTGAAACTCTAGCTCTTGCTGTGTTTGTTATCCTAGTCTGCTCTGATAGTCAGAAAAAGGTGGTTCTAAACTTTTTATTTTTTATCCAAAGGGATTTTAAACGTAATGATGATCGGGCAAATATTATATTCTGAAATATTTCATTGTTGTTTTAAGGAGAACGTAACACCTAAGGCTTGAAAGGATTTCCAAGTCATTCAGCCATTCAAGCCATTGCACGGCTGCAGATTTATTTATTTTTGTCAGGTCCTGCTGTCGTAACTGTGGGGCTCAAGGCCTCTTTTACCTTTCCTGGTGTGGGCAAGTTCTTAAGGGAAGACCCTGCACCTTCCATTCCATGGGGCTGGAGTCACGGACTCCTCCTGGATCAAGACTCCTGCATCCTCTCTGCTGCAGGCTCATCTGCTCCAAGTGGATCCAAGCACCTGCTGTTCTTTCCTTGGGAAAATGCTTTCAGACAGCAGTTCAAAAAACACAGGTTTTATTTATTAAGCAGTAGAAAAGAGAAAAGAAAAGTACTAGAAAACATCCAGCTCTCTGCATTTTTACCTAGGAAGCCCATAGTCTCACCCTTTTTGCTGATGTTCTAGGCAAGGCTCCTGTCTTGAGATGCCCTGGCTGGTTGCTGTCTCTGGCTGCCCTTCCCAAACACCTCTTGCATTTCCCTGCAGAAGGAATCACTTAAATTTTTCCAAGCAGACTTTTGTTTTTCTGGGGCCTCAGGCTTCTCGCTATGTGATGAAACCTCAGGTTTTTAGAATTGTTGGAGGAGAGGTAGAATCATCAAAATATTAAAACAATGTCTGGCACTGTCTGCCAAGAGCTCTGAAGTTTTTGCTGGAAGGTGTCTATCCTGAATCACATTTTTCCTATCTAGTTTTTCAGACAGCTTCCTGCTGTGTTACCAATATCAGTTTACTCAAAGCCATGCAATAAGCATTAAAATCCTCACACCAACGTACAGTGCATTTTTATAGTTTATTTTATATATTTTTAATAAAAATTACGAACTATTAATAACTGTAAATGCAGGATGAAGTGCAGAACTGATCTTGCTCCTCCTCAGTCTGTGTCTCCAAGTTTTGGAGTTTGCTTCTGAAACGCTGCTTGCACGTCTGTCCTCACAAGGTCGTAGTTTGGTTCTGGAACGGCTGAGATGGCTCCCAGGTGTGTTTACATTTTCAAGGCCCCAGCAGAGTGTTACTAGTAGTGTGCCAAGGTGACAACAATTGTACCAGATATAGGAGTAATTCCAGATGTTCTCAATCACCCAAATTTAAGAGAGATTCTTGCTGAGCTGCATAGGTTCAGATGCTACAGCTGCACGTGTGGCCTTTGAGAGGGGGCTGCAAGAGCAGCTTTGCTTTCTGTCTTCTGCCGTCCTCGCTGCTTTGCGCACAGGCAGCCTCGACGGTTATCCCAGGTCCCCAGGGCAGTGGTGCCCATTGCTGCCCATGGATGTGCCCGCCTTCCTCCCACATCCACATGGAGCTGGCACGGGCCCCAAGAGCAGCAGTCCCACCTAATTCACCCCAGGTTGTCACTCCTCCCTTCTGCCACCCTTGGGCCTGCCCCTGTGTCCATACAGTGTTCAGGGATAAGCCTGGGTCAAGCTAGGCTTTTTTAGGGCCAGGCTGGTGGTAATGCTGATATCCAGTTCACCAGCTGCAAGGAGAGCTGTGCTGGCATGGGGAAAGACATGTGCTGGAGCAGGACCGGGCTGCTCAAAACTCTGCTGCCTTTCTGTGCCTGCAAGTGTCCATGCCACTGTTATTACAGAAATGACTTGCACCATCCCTAAAGCTTTGAAATAGTGACTGAAAGTCTTTCCTGTAGCCCACAGTAGTATTATCAACTTTTTTCCTCTTTTACTTTTCCTTGCCTATTTTTTTAGTGTAATATTTATTTCAGAGTTTATAACGGAGGTTTTGATGCAGCACAGGACTGAGCACATGCAATGCAGACTGAAAGGTGTCTTTTAAACTAGAGTATCGCCTTAAATTTTGACTCTATCTTTGAAAACACAAAGTGATTCCATACCTTCTACAAAGAGAAAGTAGAGAAGGGAACTGCTTTCAGGGCACAGGACAAGGATTTTATCTCTTACATAATTACAAGCAGTAGTTTATTATAGTGACATAATCTGACAAACTCTTGGGACGCTGGATAATTCATGAGCCTGATGAACTTTGAAGATATGAGGTAGTCAACAGCTCTGCAAAAGTTTTTGACATCTTCTGAGAGACTGTGAGTAGGACTGGAGGAGGTTGCTGTTGCCATCAGAGGAAAGCTGTGGGGATAGATTAAAAACCTCCCTTAAGCTTGTCTCCTTTGCTGGTGATATAAACATTCCTGAAGACTGGCCACAAAACGATGAGAAACATGTTGGGATGGAGCTGAACCTGGAGAACGAAAACTAACAGGATGCAGATGGTGCTGAAATTAAGTCTTTTAGAATAATGATCTTTGATGAAAAATGAGCAAGTAAAGCATCAGTCACTCCACAGAATTGTCATGTCAACAGATCTATCTCTGCAGAGTGTTGTTTTTTTTTTTTTTTTTAAATTGTGTTACGTGGTCTGACAACAGGAGAGAAAATGACCTGCCATTTCTGGGCAGTTCAAAGCCAAACCAAGTGGAAGTTAGAACTGAGGTGTAAATCCCATGGACTTGTCCCTAACCACTGACTTGTCTGTGCTCACTCTCCTATAGGACACTGAAGAGCAAAAATGAGTAAGCATGGGGAAAACTGAGTTTTGAAAAGTTTTGCTTTTCAAAAGCAAACTGACTGGTATGACGAAGTCTAAAGTCATTTTTAAGTGGCCTTTACATCTTGCAAAAACACTAGCTGTCATAACATCTCATTGCCACCAGCAAAATTCAGACTAATTCCAGAAAGAGCTGATGTCATTGTAACAGAAAATGAATGCACTAAATCATCCGTGTTGAGATAACATCACCATGAGCAGACTGGTTTTATCACAGGCTGAAGGGAAGGATCTGAGGAAAATCTTGTGGGGACAGTGATTGCCCTGAGGGGTTGACAGGGGATGAAGCTGGGACAGAGTCCCAGCCATGGGGCCGGGTTATAAAGCAATATGGAGAAGACTCTAGCTAGAGGAGGTCAGGAGGAAGCAGGTCTTACTACAGGCTGCTCAACCTGTCCAAAAACCTCTCCTGAGGGATAGCAGAGTGGTTTGGGGGTTCTCACAACTCCTTCTGCCTTTGTGCTGACCCCACTTTTTCTAGGCACAGTCCTTTCAAAGTGTTACTTCGTTCCTACTTTGCTCACCATATGCTTCAGAGGAAGTGAAATCTGAGGTACTGTGGCATGTGGGTGGTAGGATGG